CCAAAGAGAAGGAGAAATGGAGGAGAAGGGATTGTGGTATAATCATTCCTCATGGCGGGGGTGCTTTCTCCTTTCTCAGTCTCTTTATCTCTCTGTCTTTCTCTGGCAAGCACGTGTACCTTCTAGCAAAAAAGAAAAAAAAAAGGTCTGTTTATTCTACTAAATACTAAGACAGATCTCTCTGGCAAGCACGAGTACCTTCTAGCAAAAAGGAAAAGAAAAAAGTCTGTTTATTCTACTAAATACTAAGACAGATAACTGGGGGCTTCTGTCTTTTCTGTAGTTTAATCATTTTATAAAATATTTGTGGCTGTAACTCAAGCACAAACAAATATAGAATTGTGACACCTTCCTGGCACGTTGAGCCTTCTTTAGAGATCACTGTCTAATATCCATCTTTCTCTCTAGCAGGGCTTTTTGCCACAACGTTCACCTTGTCTGACATCACTATAGCTACACCAGTTTTATTTTGCTTCAATTTGCATACTAAGCATTTTCCATCATTTCTTAAGTTTGTTTCTTTCTTCTCTGTGAGAGAGACAAAGAGGGAGGAAGACAGAGAGACAGGTCCTGAAACAGTCTTCACACCGTGATCCCTCCCCCCTCGGTCTCAGATACCCAGGTCAGTCATGTGTGCACCTTCTGTGCTCAGGGAGTGCCTGGGAAATGAACCGAAGACCTCTCCATGTGGATCGCATTGTATTACTGCTACACTATTGCCTGGCCCTCAATTTCCTTTGCTTTCCTTTCAATTTTCCTCAATCTTTCTTTATGTTTCAGATGTGTATCTTAAAAAAAAAAAAAAAAGGATAAAAAAAGTTCCTGATAAGTTTTTGTCTTTAATGTGGTCACTTAATCTATTTACATTGAGTGCATTTATTAATCTATTTATTAATAAATCAATAATTTATTAATCCATTGTCTGACCAAGTGTTCTCTAGTGTTCCTGTCTGTCTATGCTCCCTTCTTTCTTTCTTTTTTTTTTTTTTGCACTTCTTTTGGATTTTTTGTTATTCCACTTTGTTTATTTGTTTGTTTGTTTGTTATAGAGCACATGCGCTCGCTGGAGATAGACACAGAGAGCAAAAGGGAGAAAGCCCCCTCCCCCAAAAGGAGGATGGCCATACCACAATCCCTTCTCCACCACACTCCTCTCAGGATACTGGGCATGCACACACATGCACCCGGTGTTTTTTCAAGCCACTGGGTCCAGACTTGAGCTGCACAGCCAGCCATGTGAGACCCCCCAGCCATAATCTCCACACTACCTGCTGGTCCTATTAACTGTTGATATTTTTACCATATTCACAGACATGGTGAAAACCTTGAAACTTTTTTTTTCTTTGAGATGTTTTCCATAGGGCATGTGCACTGCATTCTCCTCTTGGGATTCTGGGCATGCATGCATGTGTGCCTGGCATGGTTTTCAAGCCTCCATGTCTGGGACTCAAACTATAGCTGGCCAGGTGGGAGTTCAGTGCTTTAACCACCATGCCACCTGCTGGTGCTGAAAACTTTGGAATGTCAACCATGTTTATCCACTCCCGATTTTTTCATTGACTTGTTTATTTATTTATCTATTGTTTATTCACATTAGACTGCATGCATGTACACACGAGGAGACAAAGAGGAGCACCCTCCCCAGGGTCTGGTCATGCCATAACTCCCTTCTTCCTTCCAGTCCTCCAACCTATTGAATCTCGGGCACTCACATGGTGCCCAGTGTGTCTCAGGCCGACCAGGCCAGGGATTCAAACTGCGGTCACCATGTGGCATTCAGGTTCTCTTATCAGCGCATCACTGCTGAGCCACACAGCTGGCCCATGCTCCTGGCCCACGCCATTATAGTTGTTTATTTTAGCTCTGAACATCATTTTAAACTCAGTTAATCGTTATTACTATTCTTTTTTTTTTCTTTTTCTTTTTTTTTTTTTTTGAGAGATTTTTGCTATAGGGCATGTGTGCTCGCCAGACAGACAGAGACATAGAGACAGAAAGCGAGAAATCACCCCCCAGGGGGGATGGTCACACCGCAATCCCTTCTCCTCCATTCTCCTCTCAGGATCTTGGGCACGCACGCACACGCGCCCGGCGTGAGTTTTAAGCCACCGGGTCCGGGACGCAAACCGCGGTCGACTACGTGGGAGTCCAGCCACATAGCCATTACGCTAACTGCTGGTTCCCAATTATTACTATTATTTTTAGCCCAGTCCTTAAGAATGCCTTCTAAGCCAGACGTGGTGGTGGCATATGCCTATAATCCCAGGCACGTGGGAGACTCAGGCAGGAGGATTATAAATTCGAGGCCAGCCTGAGACCTGACCTCCAAAAGAAAAAGAAGACCCCTTCCAAGGAAGCGGTATGTGGCACTCGGTACAGCTGCATTGGACCTGTCCTGCCTTTCAAAATTGTTACATAGACTTCGGCTTCTTAAATGGCTCAAGTGCCTGCTTTCTCACCAGTTTTTAAGGAGCCAGTTTCTCTGTGGGGTAGAAAAGTTTTTGAGTTACTGCATCCAACAGGTAAGGGCATCTTGAGGTGAAGTTAATAGACAATGAGAAGGGAGGGCTTTTCAGCCCCGTGACTCTACAACGGCCGATTTCTGGCTCCGTCCGATTCCCAGGCTTCGCGTTTGTGCGAAGTGTTTCTGTTTGCACAACAGTGCTGTGGGCAGGCTCCCTTTCGTTCCATAAACAGAGTCGTGTGTTCTCAAAGAGTAACTTCGAGCTAAGGTTTTTGGGAACTAAGCTGCATGTTTGTGATCATTCAGCCAAGGATTCCTTTTGCGTTTTGTTCACATAATACTGCAAAGCATCAGTGGAGTCAGAGCGCGTGGGTCCTGTGTTTATGACATCCAGCCTCCCTCCTACCGTGGCCTACCTTCTCTGCAGCTTCCTTCTCTCTCTCTTCCTCGTCTGCTCTTGCCCAGGCTGCCGCAGGTCGGCTGGCTGGGAACACCGTCAGGAGTGTCACTCTGCTTTTCATGTTGTCACGTCCTGAGTGACCTTGGAGACTTCTTATAACCTTGATGTTGATGCCCCCCGAGGCTGGTGGGAGCTCTCTAGGAGGGGGACGTCAGAGGGAAACTCCAGGGAATGGAGCCTCTGGTGCTTGTGGGGCCCCTTCTGTATGGGGCCCTCAGGACTCGCTGGAGGGGATTCGTAGAGCACCTAACACCACCAGGTGAGAACCTGCTGGAGGGCTGCAGGCTTGAGGGAGAAGATTCTGAGAGCCAGGACTCCTCTGTTCCCAGCCCTGCCGCCAAGTGGCTGTAGGTGTTCAGGCACATCACTTCATTGCCCAAGGGATCTAGTTACTCTTTTTTTTTGTTTTTGGAGAGGTTTTTGCTATAGGGTATGTGCACTCTCCAGAAAGAAAGAGAGACAGAAAGTGAGAAATCACCCCCCCCAGGGGGGATGGCCATGCCGCAATCCCTTCTCCTCCATTCTCCTCTCAGGGTCTTGGGCACGCACACACATGCGCACGGCGTGAGTTTAAGCCACCGGGTCCGGGACTCGAACCGTGGTCGACTACGTGGAAGTCCAGTGATATAGTCATTACGCTAACTGCTGGTCCCTCTCATTTTATTTTTTAAGAGAGATTTTTGCTATAGGGTGCCTGTGCTTGCTGGAAAGACAGAGAGAGACAAAGAAACAGAAAGCGAGGAATCACCCACCAGGGCGCATGGGGCATGGCCATACGCAATCCCTTCTCCATTCTCCTCTTGTAATTTTGGGCATGCACATACACACATTCGGCATGAGTTTTAAGCCACCAGGTCCGGAACTCAAACCACAGTCGACTATGTGGGAGTCCAGCGACATAACCATTACACCATCTGCTGGTCCCTTTTCTCATTTTTAAAAAAGAATGATTTTATTTAACTTCTTAGAAAATATTGTTTATTTTTCTTATTTATTTTGATTAGACCAGAGAGGGACAGTGAGAGAGAGAAAGAGAGAGAGAGAGGAGAGAGAAAGTGAGAAAGCAAGCTGTCAGGTCTGGGACTCGAGTTGTGGTCGGCCATGCGGGAGTCCAGCGCCCTTAACCACTACACCACTTGCCAGCTCTTCCCCTCCTTTCTAATTTTTAAAGAAGATTGGATTCGGTCATCTCCAAGTCTTTTTGTAGTGGCAAAATTCTATGACTCACCTCAAAGCAGGATACTAAGTTGAAAAAGAAGAGAAGGAAACTCTAGGTCTTAATCCTTCTTCCCCTTCTCTCCTCTGCCTCCTTTTCTCCTTCTCTTTCTCCTTTTCTTCTCCCTACCCCCCCTACCCCCTTTCTTCTTCTTTACAAAGAGGATGCATTCCCACTGAATGGAGACGTGGAGGAGAAAGCATTGCGGCATGACTAACACCCACTGAGGGGAGCCTTCTCTGTCTGGGGACTGCATGAGACATCTGGTAATTTTTTTAAAAAAAAGAAAGAAAAGGGGCCAGAAGGTGCTGGATTCCCACAGTCAACTAAGGTTTGAGTCCTTGGCCTGGCAACTTGAAAAATCACAAAAAATAAACAGATAAATAAATTAAAATGATTTTTTTTAAAGTCATGGTTTAAAAAAAAGAAGAAAGAAAAGTGGGGCCAGCAGGTAGCGTAGTGGTTAAGGCAGTTCGATCCCATGGCCTGTTGCAGTTTGAGTGCCAGATTTGATGACTTGAAAAACATGCCAGGTGCATGCACATGCCCAGAATGCAGAAAGGAGAATGGAAGGAGAAAAGATTGTAGGATTGTGGTGTGGCCATCCTCCCCGCTCTGACAAGAAGTGAAAATCTACTCATAACTAACTCTTTATAAAGAAAAGATTGCAGGATTGTGGTGTGGCCAGCCTCCCCACCTCTGGCAATAGGTGAATATCCACTCATGACTAACTCTTTATGGAGAAAAGATTGCAGGGATGGTGGTGTGGCCAGTCTCCCCACCTCTCAGGCGATAGGTGAAAATCCACTCATGACTAACTCTTTATGATGAAATGTTACTTTTCTAATACTCATTTCCAGTTAGTCTGTGATGTGACAAGTGAAGACAGGAATGACACAAGTGGAAAGCAGCCCGCTCTGAAGAGAAGAGAAGCAGAGACACGTGCAAGGTATTCTGAGGTGAGGAGAGGGAAGCTGGAGAACTCTAAGGGTCTTCTTTAAACAGAGGGTCTTCTTTAAACAGGGAGACCTTCTCCACGGGTCTTCTAAGGAATGAGATGGACTAGCTGGAGAGCTCCGGGAGAGCTCAGGGAGGGTTCCTGGGCCGGGGTGTGATCAGGGGACAGAGAGCTGCAGAACAGCTGCGTGGACGTTGGTGCTGACACCAGGCACGCTGAGATGCATCATGGGGGAATGTCCACGTTGGGAGAGGTGGGAACGTGCACTGCAGGGCTGGTCCTGGGTCCAGCACACAGCAGTCCACCCTGTCTGCAGGGAGGTGTACCAACACCCCCGTGGGTGCCCTAAACCATGGATCGTGGCTGTTTTTTTCTTTGCATACATACCTATGACAAAGTTTAATTTATAAATAGGCATGGGAAAAGATGAACAACTAATAGTAAAATAGAATCATTATAATAGGGAGTCGTCGGAGAAGTCATGATGTATTTTTTTCTCTTTTTCTATACAAAGATGCGCCCTGACTTTTCCGACGAGCAAATACTACACTATAATAAAACATACGTGAACGTGGTGTGTGTCTCTGCCTCTCTCTCTCCGAAGCTCTTACGGCACTGTACTCACTCACCTATCTGGGGACTGTAGTTGACTTGACTGAAACTATGGAAGTGAAACAGCAGCGAAGGAGCCACTCCTATAAACTGGCTCTCAGCACGCTGATATGTGAACCCCTGGACGCAGGACTGGGGAGGAGGGGGAGGAAGTTGAAGGTCATTTCCTCTCTTTTTAGCAATCTCAAATCATTTCCTTCTGTCTTGAGCACTTTAATATCAGAAAGCATTGCAGATGAGGGGTCAGTGCCTGGTCTACGGTGGACAAGTGTTATGGTTAAATGGTTGGTAAAATCAATGATTTGAATGAAGGTGATTGGTTTGGCTGGAATTCAGATCAGAAAAATTAGCAAAGTTTGGAAAAGTCAGATTGTTGCATTTTCGGCTAGATTATTCTTTGGGGATTAACTTGCCTGCAAGTGTTTTAGCTTGCTCTGTACTGCTCTCTTCGTAGATGAGCTTCTGTAAATTGATCTTGTGAGGCCGACGAGTGGTTGTGCGCAGCATCTCCCTAATCCTGCATAGGAGTACGAGAACACAGGCGGCCCTCTGTTTCAAGGAATGTCCGCTTCAGCTTCAGGGGGTGTAGCTGGAATGCGGGAGCCATTTAATAGAAAGTCCTCAGGGCATGGAAGCGCCTTGTTGGAGAACTTTGAGGACAAATGTAAAGTGGCCCCCGCTGGCGCTGTGCCTTAGACTTGTCTAAAGAATGAAACTGAAAGGGATATAGTGGGCCGTACACGGACGAGATGTGATTTTCAAACAAGCCTTTAAGAATTATTTATTTAATTTTATTTATTTATTCAGATATTTTAATTTGACCAGAGAGAGACAAGGAAAGAGAGAGAGGGAAAGCGAGAAAGGAAGCCACCAGGTCTGGGACTCGAAGCATGGTTGGACATGTGGGAGTGTCCAGCGCCTTAACCACCACGCCACCTGCTGGTCCCCGATTTTTATAACTTCCTTCTGTAAGAACGGAGGATGTTAACTGTCATGAGTGTGCTCTTACTTTATTCTGAATACATCTGCATGTATATGTATGAGGGGACTTCAAAAGCCTGTGGGGAAAAAAAGAATTAAAGTATGAATGTAGGGCCTGCTTGTGGTGTGGTGGTTGGTGCGGCTGGATTCCACATGGCCGATGGCAATGGTTTGAACCCTGGACCCAAGCAGCTTGAGAAACACGTTGGGCGCGTGTGCATGCATGCCCAAAATCCTGAGAGGAGAATGGAGAAGGGATTGCAGCATGGCCATCCCCCATAGGGAGAGTGCTTTCTTTCTCTCTCCAGGGAGCACGTGTGCCCAATAGTAAATTTAACAATAAATAAGTAAATAAAAGATAAAAATTAAAAATAAAAGGCCTTCTTTCTCTTTTTCTTAAGTTCCACAAAATCCAAGACATTCATACACAATGATATCAGTCATTTAGTTCATTTCCGGAGAATACTGAGGGTCGTGGGAACTTAACCAGGTCAATGCAGGCTCTTTTACATTAACTGAAGAAAAATGGCTGCCTTTAAGATTTTTCTTGATTAGGAAACAGGAAGAAGTCAGAAGGGGCCAAACCGGGATTGCAAGGTGGGTGCCTGATGATCTCCCCATGAAACTCTCACGAAAGTGAGGTTTGAGGAGAGGCTTGATCAGAAAAGTTGTGCAGAAGGACTTCCTGGGGCAGATTTCCTGGGTGGTTTTCTGTTGAGGCTTTGCCTAACTCTCTCCAAACACTCCCATGATCATGTTTTGGCCCTCCAGAAAGTCAGCGAATGAAATGCCTTGAGCATACCAAAAACGGTTGCCATGACCTTTGCCCTTTATCTGTCCACTTTTGCTTTGACTGGGTGCCTCCTACCTGTTGGTAGCCATTGCTTCGATTGTTGTGTCTTCTCCTGTTACACTTCTTTAAAGAAGGGCTTCAGGACCTTGATCCCACTAGTTTATATCATCCATTACAAGCTCTGCTTTTGGGCTGGCTCCATGGCGCAGTGGTAATGCCTTGCTCAGGAGAGGCCAGATCCCGTGTGGTGACACAGTTTGAATCTCTGGCCTGAAAATATGCTGGGCATGTGGGTAGGTGCCCAAGAAACAAGAGGAAGGGGATCACGGTGTGACCAGACTCTCTGCAGGGTGCTCCTTTCTCGTGTGCTCATGTGCTCTCTCATCAATAAAGAAGAAAGAAGCTCTGCTGTCTGCAGCTGGTTGGCACAACAGCGCTGGTATTCACGGAGCTGAATGCTTTCTCGGTGTTTTCAGCTGGAATTGTTTAAGCTGAGTCAATTGAGATGTTTATGGTGTTGGCTTTTTCTTTTTCTATTTTTTTCTCTTTTTTTGGAGAGATTTTTTGCTATAGGGTGCATGCGCTTGCCAGAAAGACAGAGAGAGACAGAGAGATAGAAAACGAGAAATCACCCCCTGGGGGGGATGGCCATGCCACAATCCCTTCTCCTCCATTCTCCTCTCAGGATTTTGGGCCCACATGCACACATGCCTGGCGTGAGTTTAAGCCACCGGGTCTGGGACTTGAACCGTGGTCGACTACATGGGAGTTCAGCGACATAGCCATTACGCTCACTGCTGGTCCCTTTTTCTATATATATATATATTTTTTTTTAAGTATGAATTGTTTGTCTTCAATTAGGGAACAGCCAAGATTTTTTTGCTTACCAATTGATGTGGACAGTCTGTTGCAGACATCATCCTCAATGTAGTCTTATCCCTGCTTAAAATAAGTACCCATATGTAAACTACTGATCTTTGGGGGCATTGTTTTCAATAACTTTTGGTAAAGCACCATTAATTATTTTTCCATTCAAACTTGATGTAAATGTGATGTTTGTTCCTGCCTCAATTTTAGCAGGATTCATGTCATTCTGATGGGGATCTTCTCAAACAGTGTCTTCTCCTTTTTAGAACCTCAAATGACAGCCTATTCAGACATGTTATAACAAGTTAGTATGAGTTATATTTTTGCAAAATTTTTTAAATTAATGTACTTTAAAAAAAAAATGGTTTTAATTGCCACCAGGTATTGTGTACTTGTGACAGAAAGGAAGAGTACCCCTCAATGGATAGGGTCATCCCACAGTGCATCTCCGTTTCTCTGTCTTGTGGGGATTTGCGGCATCCATGCACATATGCCCATCATGGTGTTCAAGCTGCCAGGGCTGGGATTCAAACCTCAGCCAGCCATGAGCGATCTCACTCCCCTAACCACTAGACTACAGGGCCAGCCCCGCAGTTTTACTTGAAGACCATCTGTATCATTCTGCTCATCTATACCTAAGTCCATATCTGTATCTGTGGCCTATTGGTATAGTTTCTCTGGGAAACACTGATAATACATTGCCATCTATATTTCCTCATGGATGAGGATTTGTGGATCCTCACCCATATTTTATGTCTTTGGCCCTTATTTTTTCCCAGAGAATTTTGCTGTAGGCATGTGTGCTTGCTGGAGAGACAGAGAGAGAGAGAGAGATGGAAAGAAAGAAATCGCCCCCTGAGGGGATGGCCACACCGCAATTTCTTTTCCTTCATTCCCCTCTCAGGATCTTGTGCACGCATGCTCATGCACCCAGTATGAGTTTTAAGCCACCGGGTCTGAGACTGGAACCGCAATCAACCGTGTCATCCCATTGGTTTATTTTTTAATTGGGATGTTTGATTTTTACTGTTGAAGTATAAGGACTCTATAAATTCTAATTATGAGTTCTTTATAAGATATGTGGCTTGCAGGGTCCAACAGGTGGCATGGTGGTTAAAGACACTGAACTCCTACATGGCTGACTACAGTTTGAGTCCTGGACCTGGCAGCTTGCTTTCTCAGTTTCCCTCTCTCTCACTCTGTCCCTCTCTGGTCAAATTTAAATAAATAAATATAGTTTTTCAAAATTCTAAAAAAGGAAAAAGATATGTGGCTTGCAAATAGTTTCTTTTAGTCTTTAGGTTGTCTTTTCACTCTTTTAACAGGGTCTTTACACAGCCAATTTTTTTGTTTGTTTGTTTCTGGTATTTTAAAAATATGTTTATATTGGGGCCAGCAGGTGACGTGGTGGCTAAGAGCACTGGACTCCCACATGGCCGACCAGGTTCAAGTCCTGGACCTGGCAGCTTGCTTTCTCACTCTCCCACTCTCTCTCTCACTCTGTCCTTCTCTGGTCAAATTTAAGTAAATAAATAAAGCTAAATAAAGTGAATTTAAAAATAAAGTAATTTTAAAAGTATGTTTATATATATATATATTGCTATAGGGTATGTGAGTACTGAAGAGAGATAGAGAAAGGGGAAAAAAGTGAGAATTCTCCCCTGGGGGGGATGACCACATCACAATTTTTAAATAAAGTGAGATGTTGGTAATTGCTTGGCATTTAGAGATATTAAAATAAGATATTAAGATATTAAGCCTCCTCTATCTCCCAGGTCTTTCAATCTTCTAGACTTTTCAATCTTCTAGACTTTTTATTTTATTTTATTTTATTGGAGAGGTTTTTGCTAAAGGGCGTATACGCTCACCAGAAAGACAGAGACAGAGACAGAAAGCAAGAAATCACCCCCCAGGGGAGATGGCCATGCCGCAATCCCTTCTCCTCCATTCTCCTCTTGGGATCTTGGGCACGCACGTACTCATGCCCGGTGTGAGTTTAAGACACTGGGTCTGGGACTCGAACCGTGATCAGCTACGTGGGAGTCCAGCAACATAGCTGTTATGCCAACTGCTGGTCCCTTCCTAGACTTTTTAGTAGTAATCAAGTCACAGAGTCTTCAGTTTTCTCTCATTTACTGCCGGGTAGTCACAATCTTACCAATATCTGTATGTCTGCTCTGAAATTTTTCTTTGCTTTTAGTTTGCTATAAGGCATTTGACTCACTGGGGAGTGAGAGAGAAAGAGACAAAGCAGCCCAGGGAGCATGGTCATAGTGCAATGTCTTCTCCTCCATTCTCTTCTTGGGATTTTGGGCACACATGCATATGCCTGGCATGTTTTTCAGGCTGCTGGGTCCAGGACTTGAACTGCTCAGTTGGTCATGGGGGATCCATCTGCCTTTACCTTCATGCCAGTCATTCTCTAAAACGAACAAACACCAAACAAATCAGCCTTATATGTTTGATGAGACGGATAATGATAGGAAAAAAGGGTACTAGAGGCTAGCAGATAGCGTAGTGGTCAAGGCGCTGGACTCCAATGTGGCCAACCATGGTTTGAGTCCTGGACCTGGAGACTTGCTTTCTCTCTCTCTTTCTCTAGTCAAATTGAAGAATAATGATAATAAATAAAATAAAATAAGTAATTCTTTAAGAAAAAAAGGTACGTCCTAGCTATGAGTTCAGTGACTAGATTATAAACTATCAGATTATAAACATAACAAAAAAACATTTTACTATAATTATTGTGTTTTATTATTAATTTATTATTGAGTCCACTTTATAAATTAAACATTTTATTAAGTGCTTATGCATATAAAGGGAAAACACAGTACATGTAAGGTTTGGCACTATTAGTGGTTTCAGGCTACCGGGAATCTTAGAATGAAAACCCTGCATTAGGGACCAGCAGTTGGCTTAATGGCTATGTCACTGGAGTCCCATGTAGTTGATCTCGGTTTGAGTCCTGAATCCGGTGACTTAAACTCACGCTGGATGCGTGTGCATGCATGCCCAGGATCCTGAGAGGAGAATGGAGGGGAAGGGATTGTGGCGTGGCCATCCCCTCTTGGGGTGCTGTTTCTCACTTTCTGCCTCTCTGTCTTTCTGGTGAGTGCACATGCCCTATAGCAAAAACCTTTCCAAAAAACCCTGTGTTAGCACTGTGCCACTTTCTGGTCCCCTGTATTTCCATTTTCTAAGTGAAAATCTCATGTCCTATTTTATTTTTTTGATAAGAACACTGAGGCCCTGGGGTTAAATAGCTTCCCAGGGGTCATACTGGGTAAATGGCCGAAAGGAGACCCAGACTCAGGCAGCTGGACTCTAGCCATCTGGAGGCCCTTTTTCCTCTCTGCATTCCTCAGTGGTTCTTGACCTTGGAGAGCCACTTCCCCACCCACTGAGGGGAAGAACCAGTGACCTCCCATGGGGGAGGAGCAGAGAGCGAGGTGGGCAGAGAGAGGGGAAGAAGAGGGAGGCACTGAAGGGAGAGGCAGCATCTACACTGGTCATCCCTCCTGCAGCTTTCAGTTCTCATCTTTCTGCTCTGCTTCACAAATCCCAAGTGCAGCCTTCGGAACTTTGTTGAGGGTAAGGCACTAGATCCCACATGGCTGACTGTGTGGTTTGAGTCCGGGATCCAGACTTGAAAAACATGCCAAAATCCGAGAAGAGACTGGAGGAGAAGGGGTTTTAGTGCGGCCATCCCCCTAGGGGGGTGATTTCTCACTTTCCTTCTTTCTCTGTCTCTCTCCAGGGAGTGCATGTACCCTATAGCAAAAAAATTTAAAAAAATAAAAATAAGAAAAAAAAAGAAAGAAATCCTTAAAAAAAAAAAACAAACCCTAAAACTAAAACAAAATAAACCAAACATGCAGACCTCAAACAGCTGAGGAAATTTAAGCCCTGGTGAAGTATTTAATATTAAGGAATTAAGGTTGAATTTTTGGAGCAGAGATGGTGAATGTGGTTTTATATATATATATATATGTTATATATACAGATATACACACACGTGTGAATATGTAGATATATGCAGTATATATGTGAATATGTATATGTTAAGAACTTTGTTTTTAAAAACTTTTTTTGTTCCACGAAAGAGAGAAAGACCACATCCTCAACAGGTCTTGAGGCAGTGATCCAGCCCCAGCTCAGACGGCCCTGGATCGTGGGCTCAGGTGTAACCCATGTACTCAGGGAGGTCTCCAGACTTGAACTGCAAACCTTCTCATGTGGCACTGGCTTGCAGAGCACCTTCACCATCTGGCCCTAGCTTTAAAAGATTTTTTTTTTTAAATTTCCCCTAGGGTACATATATGTTTGTTGGAGAAAGAGTGAAAGAAAGAAAGAGTAAGACATCACCCCCCCAGGGGGAATGACCACACCGCGATCCCGTCTCCTCCATTCTCTTCTCGGGATTTGGGGCAGAAATGCACATGTGCTCGATATATTTTTTAAGTTGCTGGGTCTGGGACTCGAACCATGAAGTTGGGCGTGTGGGATCCCACTGCCTTAACCACCACGCTGCCTAGCTGGCCCATCCCTATCGTTTAGAGCTATAGGCTGAACTATTTGGAAAGAAATCATACAATGTATGGGATTTGCTTCAAAGTAACCAGGGGTGGGTAGGGGAGGGCAGGGCACGGAGGACACAAAAGTCAGTAGTTGTTGAGGCTGAGCGATGTTTACATGAGGGATTCCTTAGACCGTTCTCTGTACTTTTGCAGACGTTTCCATTTTTCCATCATAAAAAATAAAAAATAATAACGCACTTCATCGTTCAGCACCCCATTTCCAGGCACCTCGGGTAGATCTACACACCCCACCTGGAAACTGCTCTGGAAGCCTCATTCACGTAAATGAGTGTCACCTTGAGCCAAAAACAACACATCTGATTGGCATGGGCCTCTACCCTAGCCCCACTGCCAAGTGTGGCAGAAACAGGAGTTCCTCGGCAAGAGAAGGGGAAGTGTCCTGTTTGGCCCGGCCTCTTTTTATCTGAGCCACATCAGAAGCTGAAATTTAGCCACTGGGTGTTTATAAGGAATCACCTGTCTGTTTTCCCTTGAAAGTAGAGAGTTTCAGAATATAGCTGTTGGTAGGATGGTGAGTGTGACATTTTTTTCTTTACCAGAACTATGTTTTAATGCCGTACGTGTTTACAGATCGACAAGGAGTGTTTGGGCTTGCTTAGTAGTTGTGTTAGAAAGGTGTCCGTAGGGCCCTTCTCCAGCCTGAAGAAACTTGGTCCCCACCCTTAGCTCCTTGAGGGGCAAGTTATTTTAATTAGAAAACAGTCACT